TCAGTGGCCTCGAAAGAGAGATGAGCCTCATTCCCGAGAGTCGGACATGAGTGGTGGAGTAAAATCCACAGGGACTCCTTTAGCTTCCCCTCCTTTGGGAGTTGAAAGACAACCGGGGTCAGGTTGGCTTCATCAGCTGTTGGACTCTTTCCTTTCCTTCATGTCCTTCCTCACTTTCAATTTTCCCGGACAGGGGTTGCCTAGCAATCAGATTACTCTCGACATGTCCGAGAATTCTGCAGATGACCAGTACATTGACTGCAACCCCAAGAGAGAGGATGAGCTGAAGAACTCAGAAAAGCTTCCCCTGCCAGAAAAATATGTTGAAACCTGGGAAAAGGCCAAGAGCCACTGGAACAGTCTCGGTCAAACTGTCGGCAGCTTCAATCGTATTTATGGCATTGTGATTGTGGCCTACACAGTCGGAGACCACCTGTACCGTGATTTCAATACCGCTGCAAGAGAAGCTGGGAAATCCCAGGATTCCTACGAGCAATATGCCTTCAAGGACTTCCACCTCCTCCTCACCAAAGCTCTTCAGGCCAAGAAGAAGACGTCCGATTGCTATGAGGTCTTCCGTGGGATAAAAAACATCCATTTTGCCACCTCGGACAAGGCATACGTCCGCTTCGGACACTTTGCTTCCTCCTCATTGGACAAAAAGGGGGCCCAAGGATTTGGTGAGGACACCTTCTTCTCTATCAAGACTTGTTACGGAGTGCCCATTCATGACTTCTCATTCCACGAAAAGCAAAAGGAAATTCTCATCCCACCCTATGAGACCTTCACCGTGACCAACTACACAAAGACCCAAAAGGGGATCTTCATCCGGCTGGAGTCCCTGAAGGTTTACAGCCACTTCAACTGTGAAGTCCTGAAAGGTAAGAGGCTGGCAGAAGGGAGAACGTGGGGTTCAGGGGTCCCCAGGGAGCATCGCGGCAATATCTGTGGTGGCTGCAAAAGCGAGTCGGTTCCAGATGGACCAAATGTCCATGGAGATGATTGATCATCCAGTTCAGCGGTGTCAAACTCACAGCCACGGCCACCCGGTTTAGTTGAGCGGGGGGAGTCGTGATATGTCACGTGACGACAACATGACGACGCGAGTTTGATACCCGTGATCCAGGCCACCATTGTCTGAAAGCTGTTTTTTTCTTTGAAAGTGTTTCACTTCTCATCCAAGAAGCTTCTTCTATTCTCTCTGCTGAGAAGCAAAACATTTTCCCCAAGAAAGTCCAGTTGCCTTTTTTTTGGGGGGGGGGGGGGAATAGAACTTTTGAGTCTTCCAGATAGACCGGGGTCCCCAACTCATGGGGCATGGTCCACTACTGAGCTGCAGGAAAAATGGGCAAGGACAGTGGTGAAATCTAATTTTTTTTGCCACTGGTTCTATGGGCATCACATAAGGGGGGCAACGTTTTCTCACTTTTTAAAGTATTCTTCTCCTGCTGGTTCACAGCTGAGCTGCGCAATCCTCAGACGCTTTTTTTTTTTTTTTACTACTGGTTCACAGAACCAATGAAAATTGTTCCTACCGGTTCGGCCGAACTGGGTGAATTTCACCCCTGAGCAAATGCATGGATGTGAAGCTCCTGTTGTATGAACGGAAGGCACTTGCGCTCACTCATATCAGTGGAGTTTCTTGTGTAAGTGGAGTGTCACACACGAGCGCAAGTACTCCACATTCAAGCATGAAGCTCCTTTTGCATGAGTGAGCAGCACTCACACAAATGGAGCTGCATGCACGTGTGCCAACCTGCCACTCAGGGGTGGGTTCCGTCAGCCGCTACTGCCAGTTTGCTCAGGGGTGCACCCCCTGCACATGCGCAGTACAACTACAATTGCTCTGCACATGTGCAAAAGCAAAAAAACAAGGTGGCGGCACCTACAGCGCCGCCGGGAGGACCGGTTTGGGGGCGTGGCAATAGCAATAGCAGTAGACTTATATACCGCTTCATAGGGCTTTCAGCCCTCTCTAAGCGGTTTACAGAGAGTCAGCATATTGCCCCCAAC